CACAGCCACCACAGGAGAGCTCTCATCTCCAACAGGCACTGCTCACCACAGCCACAGCCATGCTGCTCCTTATCCAGGCATCCTCACAGCCGGAAGAGGGACTGGGGACACACCACCTGCACAGGTACATGCACAAAACCTACTGGAAACGTGAAAAAATAAGCGTGGAAGAAGTGACGAATCAGGAAGACAAATACATCACGCTGCTCCAAGGGAGCTCAGACCCACCACACACTCCAGCCAGGTGACACCGTAGAGGTAGAGGCCTCGCACCGTGCCAAATCGGGAAGTCACAACAGGCCTGCCCACCTCCTCCTCCATCATCTCTAGGCTCTTCACCTCATCTTCCCAGCGTCTGCTTCATAGGCCTGCAACCTTCACACACGTAAGGGAAAGGCAATTGGCACTATCAACAACTCCAAGGTTTCACAGCACTGGGGACAACGGCCACTCCCTGCCGAGACGCCACACACGACTTATCCCCCACACCCCAAACCCCGGCCCACAGCTGTCACAGGACAGCCAGACCCCTCAGGCTTTTCCCTTCAATAGCAAGGGAAGCAATTTAGGTGTGCAAACACAGGTCTCCTGCCAGATCTGGGAACAACAGAAAAAGGCTGCAACAACTTTCAAGACAACAAGACAAACAAAGGCACGTGGACAGAGGACAAGCCAGTCCCAGCACCGGTGGGAGAGCCTGTGGCAAGACAGCCAGGTAGGCAAAGACGTACCAAACTTCTGCCCCACCAAATCCTGGAGAGGGCCAGACACCGGCACTCAAGTGTTGTAGCAAACCCAGCTCAAGGAGCCAAAAAACCTGCTGGCAGGGACAGGCACACATTCTCAAGCCTCGTGAAGAGCCGCACGAGGGACCCCTGGCCACAGCAGGCCACCGCAAGAGATGAGAGGAAGCTCAAATGCTGCAACACCCTGTTCCAGCATCACTGACTGGGATCACCTAACACAGACACCATGCCAGACCAGGGCCTTCCCACCACACCCAGACACCGCCCACCCCAACCCAAAGCACCTCCCAGCATCCTGCTTCTCTTGCCTCCTCTATTACCACTGTTCTGCTCTGCTGCTTAGCCCTCTTCCTTTTCCTCCACACATACCAGGACCGTACAGAGAACAGACAACAAGTGTTCAGACCAACAAGCAGAACTAAACACAGGATGATCAAACCACTGAGCAAGTCCCACAACACACAGCAAGCCAACAGAGCACCTCATCACGCTGCAAAGGGCACACAGAGGGCACGCGGACACCAGGGGGAAGGCCTCAGCCCCGAGAACCGGCACGCGCCACACATGGCATCGCAGTGCTCCGTCACCCCTTGCGCAGCCTTGCTTGCCATCCCTTCCCCGTAGGAGGCAAGCGCCTGCCGAGGACGCAAAGGAAAACCTCAGCACAATGAGCATAGAAAGCAACCAAGGGCAAAGCACAAAAACCTGCCAGACATGGGCAACCCCACACTGCTTCAAGCAATCATTTACCAACTGCAGGATGTGCCCATTCAATGCCAACACACCATGCAACAGCCAATTCCTACTGCTTCATCCTCCATGGGCACTACTCCACTCCACCCCCTGAACCATCATACATTTCCCTGCACACGGGCCAGGACCCTAGAAGGAACAGAACAGGTAGTCACTCCAGGACCAGTACAACTCCTACACCGCACACCCACTCCCCGGCTCAAAGGTCTCCAAGGGGTGCCTGGCTAGGATGCCTCCCATTCAGCCGCAGAAAAGGCCTTAGCCCCGAGACAGCCCTCACCGTGCCTGCCATTATGCTGCTCCTTCTCCAGCCCTCACTGGTCCCCGCTTCACTTGGTCTCCTCTCACAGGATGCAGGAACCTCCTGACAGCACACGGGAAACTTCACTACCAAACAAAAGGGCAAAGCACAAGCAACTGCCCCAAACAAGCAACATAGGGTGCATTCAGACCCCTGCCAAAGGAGGTGACCTATTTAATTGCCAACACAGCCCTCCTTCCAGCTCTGGGAAGAGGAAAGGAAGAACAAAAAGTGCTGCAGCGATGTTAAAAATCCAGGTGGACAGAAACACCAGTGACAAACCCAGAGAGAGACAGAACAAAGTGCAGTTCCCAGAACGGAAGGGAGGCCAGCAGCAGCAGCAACAGGCAGGCAGAGGCAGAGACACAGGCACCTGCTCCTCTGCCCCACCACACCCAGGGACAAGATCTGCATCCAGATGCCAGGGGCAAACCCTGAAACCACCTATATACTTAAAGGTTATTTTCAGCCTGTACAAAGAGAGCCAGGACACACACACAGGCTAAACCCAATCCAGGCTTACACGACCCAGCTCTGGGGCACCCCAGGAGGCCAGAACCCCCCTGGAAACAACAAGCGCCAGACACTATCAGACACTAGGCGTTTGCTCCCTCACTCAAAAAAACCCAGGGCAGAAACCACTCACCAGCCCCACCCCTCCCTAACCAAGCCAACTTTTAAGCATTCTGTTCCTTCATCTTCCAACACCGTGGCACAGTACTCCCTGTATCCTTCACCCCGTCAAGATAGACTATGCTGGAAACAGAACAGAAACCTAGCCAGCCCAGAGAGTGGAAGAAACGGCACAAAGCTAGAGACAGGGAAAGCTCCTCTGCAAACACCCGGCAGACACATCCAGACCCACTACTCGCTAGCTGAGCTCTTAAAGGCCTGTCTGTGGCCACCCAGAGCCAGATATTCACAGGCCACCAAAAAGCAATGCACCACAGCAACCACCATACACACAGTACATCCTGCAAAGGTACACACACACACACTCCCTCCTGCAAACACGATAGAACAACCATGGAAGAAATGGTCAGACAGGGAAACAAAGACATCACACCGCTCCAAGGAAGCTCAGACGCGACGCAGGCTCCAACCACGTGATGCCGCAGGGCCAGAGGCCTGACACAACACAAATTGGGAAGTCAAGTCAGGAGACAGCTGTGCATTTCCTCCTCCACCATCTCTGGGGCTCTTCACCTTGCCTTCCCAGTGTCTGCTTCATAGGCCTGAAGCCTGGGCAAGAGGGCTCCTCCACACAGACAAAAGAGACACACTTGCCACGGTTAACAACTCAGAGGCCTCATGGCGCTGGCGGCAGCAGCCCCTCCTGCCACGAGTCCACAGGCAACCTTTTTTCTTTTTTTTTTTTTTTACCACTTCCCACATAGCTGTGAGGGTGCAGGCAGAGCCCTCTCAGGGCTTTCCCATAGCAAGCAGGGGAAGCACTTAAGATGTCCAAACAGAGGTCTCCTGCCAGTTCTGGGAAGAGCAGAGAAAGACTGCAGTGACTTGGAAGACAACAAGACAAAGAGAAAGGCACACAGACACAGGACAAGCCCTGCCTGGCACTGCTGGGAGAGCCTGTGGCAAGACAAACTGCCAGGCAGAGACGCACACCAAACTTCTGCCCCAGCAAAATCTGGAGAGCGTCAGACACCAGCACCCAAATGTTGGACCAAACCCAGCTCAGGGACCCACAACACTTAGTG